GCAGTGATAAGGTACCACACAGTCGGTAATGGTCCAACTGTCAAATGCAGAGAAGACCATTGTTAAGCTTCAGGTAATTAGAAGAATTGAGATGGATGATATGTCATGAAATTAAACGAATTAAAATGAACTTTCTTACAATAAATAATAATTAAACCTAATAATAATACAGCACTCTATACTGTTTTAGACGTTGTAATTAAATAACACTGAACTCTACCAAGTATAAATTTAACTTTGTTTTGACTCAAAAACAAAATTTATTAATTTTAAGTTTTTCATTTTTATAACAAAAGTTAAATGTTAAAAGCATTACTTTTAGCTAAACATTATGTTTAATTTACTCAAATATAAAGAAGTTATGGAATTCCACATAGACGGCCATGATCTATATAATACTTAATATCAATATTAGTAACATCACCTATTAAATAAATATCAGTTATAAATTCTAAACTTTTAATTTTAGATGGAAGAATGTCAGTTGTTAACATAAGTTAATTTCATATATAAAATCAACTGTATTCAATTTATTTAAATCTTATAATTGTTTTGATTAGTTAATTAATAATAAATCTAATATTTAATATTTGTGAAAATAAAACGTTAAAATAAATTTGGTAATAATAACAAAAATGAATATATTAAAAATATATGTTGAGTTAGTTTGTTTATTTACATAAATATACAGCACTATATCAATAAATTGTTATTTACTTTTAATCTAATAACAAAATTAATGAAATTGTTTTAAAATCTAATAATTAACTGTAGAATTATATATTTAATATTAATAAGATGAAATTTAAATAAATTGATATATTAATATTATTTTACAAAATCATTAATATTATTTAAATCTTTTTGGGTCAAAACATGGTTTGTAAATTATTTATTATTCTATTTGTTTTCTGTTCAACTCACTAAATTTGATATAATTAGTATAGTAATATATAGTTTGTTAGTTGTAATAAAAATATTTAAAGTTACAAAACAAAATCGCTATCAATTTAAAATATACATTATTATGACTCAATTGGTTTCCATAATCTGTCCAGTACTTGGTTTTCATGTATATTAAATATTATTAAGAAATTATCAAATATAAGTTCTCAATTATTTAATATTCATCAACTTAACTCACAAGTGATCATCATCAGTATCAATACACAGACACAGTACACACAGACAAACAGAATACAGACACAGACACACATTAATACTATGCTAATTATCATATATCATATCAATATAGACATACTCATACTTGCATTAACAGACACAAGACACACAGACACAACAGAATAATACTTATCAATCAATCATCAAACATTATAATACAAAGAAATATATCTATCTATCCAATAATAATAATAATAATAATAATAATAATAATAATAATAATAATAATATAATATCTTGTCATAATAATAATATCATAAATATAATAAATGTAATAATAATAATAATAATAATAATCAATAATAATAATAACAATAATAATAATATCACTAATTCTACATACTACAATAGTCAATCAATAATAATAATAATAATAATATCAATAATAATAATATATCATTGCATTACAATACATACACAAATATCACAGACACAGACACACAGACAATACACACACACAGACACACAAATATTGGCATAATAATACACACACAGACAATAATACAGACAATAATAATAATAATAATAATAATAATAATAATAATAATAATAATAATAAACTAATAATCACACACACACACACACACACACACACGCCCGCGCGCGCGTGTATATATTTATATTATATATACTTGAATTAATTTAAATGTATTACTCTAGTATAAATAAAAATCTTTTGATATTAATTTATACTTAATAATTACCATAAATATATGGGCGATTCACTAAGCATGCTCATCTCTCCAGCTTTTACAAAACAGGATAAATATCTAGTCACTTTATCAACGATCATAAACTTGGAAGATATTAGGGTTTGGTTGCCAACATGTTTTAATAATTAATAATCTATCAATATATAATTTGTATAAATGGTCTAAGTATAATAAATACCAGATCTAATACACTTATTTTATTTTCTTGTAAAACCATTCTTATGAATTTTTATTATTAGTATAAAGTATAGATATTTTATCAGGATTTCTCACCTGCATGTGTTGTATTTGTCTTATATATATACAACAGCAAATTTGCGTTCTGTAGAACCTATGTGTTACATGTTACCTTATGATTAGTTTTAATATTAAAGTGGATTTACTTATTATTTAAGTTGAAGATTAGCATTGGATATTTTCAATACTTAAATTTTTAAGTTGAGTACAAGTATTTTCAATTCATATATTTTATTTAAAAATTAAAATATTGAAAATAATCCAACTCTATATTATTGATGTTCTAACTTTAAACTTTGAAACTTGAATAGTTTTTTAAATTTTTAGTTTAAGCTATGGATTTTTAATCTTAGTTTAAACTTTTTGGT